CCAAATTCAAAAGGAAAAGAAGGGAGATGCCAAGCTAGATTACAAATGTTGTGATCTGTTTGAAATACTTAACATTTAACAAATAAAAAACTTAGAATGCAATATAATTGTGCATTCTGCAGGATTTATTTTTATAATTACATAGGTAATACCATAGGTATTGTGGTCACGAATGTGGTCAGGGAATGGGATGCAAACCTGAAGTCCTGTTATGGCACATTTTGTTTGTTTGTTTTAAAATATGACCAGTAAGGGGATAACCTTGATTAACCCTTGATTTGATGTTGTCAGCACCACACTCTCCCAAGTGATCTAACTGGCCATCCCTATATAGGGATCCAAACCCGTGGCCTTGGTGTGATCAGCACCACATTCTCCCAAGTGAGCCACGAACTGGCCCCTGTTATGGCACCTTTATCTTTCCATTTAGTGTCCTCTGTACATAGGCTCAACTGTCACCTCTTCAACAGGCCTTCCTCAGTTACCCATGTCAAATGGCAGCCCTGGCACTATCTGTTGCCTCTTCCGTACTCTGCTCATGCTATCACCACCTGGCAGTATATTCTAGGTCTGTGTCTGTGTCCCCCACTAGAACCCAAACACCCTAAGGGGGCAGAGGTATTGTCTTGTTCACAGATGTATCCCCAATGCCTGGAACAGTGCTAGGCATATTTGCTGATTTCATGCTGATTAAATAACTGGAAATAAGATCAAAAGTCCAAACTCCAGGCCTGGTGGAAAAGTGATGTGGGTGCCAAGTGGCTGCTTGCTCTCCCTGATTAAGAGTTGATGACTGCCTCCCCACAACAGCGCTGGGTGGGAAGAGCCCCTGCTTTTCAGTGTGAGGCTCCCAGGGCTAACAGCAACAGGAAAGGTTTGCATGAGCCATCACAAGGGTGATGGTCCACTCACCTCAGTGGTGTTTTTCAGGCTGGCTCAGAAGTCAGGAGACCTGGTTCCAGTCTTCATTTAGCCAGTCTCACATTGCATGACCTTGGGCACATCCTGATGCTTCTAGGAGTCTGTTTCCCCATCAGAAAAGTGAGGGGTTGAAAGCCTTTTGGCTCTAACCTCTATGATGGCTAGTTCATTTGGTCCTCGCTTCCTTGTAAGATGAATGGAAACTACTTTCTTTACTTCCATTTTGCAGATGGGGATGATAAGTCTCAAAGAAATTAGTCAGCAGGGGCAGAAATAAGCCTTATGGTGAGGCAGGAAAACCCAAGAGAAGTGAAAAGGACAATTTTCCTTTGGGCTTTAAAAAATCCCTTTTATCTTTTGTTCAAGTAATCCATATTCACTATGGAACAATTAGAAAACAGCAACAGGTTTTGGGCTTCTCACCACCCACAAGACCTCATCATGGCCTGAGAAACCCCACACCCTCCCATCCCATCCTCAGAGGCAGAGCCACCGCTAAGTCCACTCTGGCTCCCATACAACTTGCTTTACTTAAAGCTGCAGTTCTCAACCCACTTTGGATGTAATTAGCTTGGAGTGGGGCCTAGGTACTGGCTTTTTTTTAATGCCCTTGGGTGATTATAAGGTACAGGTGAGAATGAAAACCACTGCCTTTCATCATTGCTCAAGCTCAGCTCATCCTTGTCTCCCATCCCTGGTGCTGTTTCTTACATTCCCACTGTATTTGACCAAAATTACTTCCTAAGTACAAATGTTGTCTAAGTGGCATTTTCTAACTTTCCAGGAGCTCAGAGAACCCATTGCTTGGGTTTGCTCTCCTGAGATACTCCCTTGGTAATTAAGATTTCCTTTGCTGTGATTAAAGGTTTTGTGTACATTGCATGCATATATAGTCAGATTGCCTAATGACCAGTATTAAATGTTCCGAACTGGCCTGTGTGGAGAGCTGGGTATTCTGCTCCAGTGATACGCTCCATAAAGGTCTACAGTATGGCAGGCCAGTTGGAAGAAAACTTCCATTTCCCACATCTTTAGAGCGCCTTTCATTTCCTGAATTATCTCTCATCTTCTCAGACCTTTTCTGCAAACCAAAGATACAAGGAAGAAAAGTCAAGGATTTTTATTTCATGCTTTTGCCTTCACAGATTTTTATACCCAGTAATAGTGATAACTAATGTTTGGGGGCTTATTTTAAGCTAGACACTGTTCTAAGAACTTTACATGAATTATATCCAAGAGCCTGACATACATAGAGTCATGACAACCCTATGGTCTGGTAAAAGAATGTTCTATTTTACGCATGAAATTGAGGCACACAACGGTTAAGTAAATTGCCTAGGACAAACAACTAGCCAAGCAAGCATTTGAATCCAAGCCACCTGACCCCAGACAGAGCCTCTGCTCTTTTTTTTTTTCTTCTAAAGATGACCGGTAAGGGGATCTTAACCCTTGACCTGGTGTTGTCAGCACCACACTCTCCAAGTGAGCTAACTGGCCATCCCTATACAGGGATCCGAACCCGTGGCCTTGGTGTTATCAGCACCACACTCTCACAAGTGAGCCACGGGCCATCCCTGAGCCTCTGCTCTTAGCCACTGCAACATAGTGCCACCTACAGGAACAGTAGTGGGGACTTACTTGGTCAAGAGTAAAAATATTGAATGAGCACATAAAGTTACAAATGTAAAGATGTGCTTAAAAGTTGGAAGAGGACATGAAGTGTAACAGCACACGTGCCGCTGTTGAGTGAGTGGAGGGTATTGGAGATGTATGCTTTCATACATGAAGGAATACCATAACTTCCAAAGGGACAGACCTTGAGCATCTCCCCAGGAGGAAAGCTTCTTTACCTATTGCAAGGAGGCTACCTAGAGTGGCATAGTACAGCTGGGGAAGAGTTGGCTGATATGGAAATAGAACTCACCCATCCCCCAAATGCTGACTATATTAACAACTAATATTTGGCCTCATTGTTGGCCCCTTGCTTACTAACCTGAGTGGGCAAAGCTGCCTCAACCTCCCCTCTCACCGGCCTCTGCTGTTTCCCTCTAGGTGACTTACAGGGCTCAGAAGGATGGAAATAGAACTCACCCATCCCCCAAATGCTGACTATATTAACAACTAATATTTGGCCTCATTGTTGGCCCCTTGTTTACTAACCTGAGTGGGCAAAGCTGCCTCAACCTCCCCTCTCACCGGCCTCTGCTGTTTCCCTCTAGGTGACTTACAGGGCTCAGAAGGACATGACCAGGAATGCCGTCTTCAAGATGGTGCTGGTGTGGGTAGCAGCGTTCCTCCTCTACGGGCCTGCCATCATCAGCTGGGAGTATGTAGCCAAAAGAAGCATTCTGCCCCGGGGGCAGTGCTATGCTGAGTTCTTCTACAACTGGTACTTCCTAATGACAGCCTCGATCATCGAATTCTTCACCCCCTTCATCAGTGTCACTTACTTCAACTTGAGCATCTATATCAACATTCAGAAGCGCACCTCCCTGAGGAATGACAACATTGCCCATGGCCAAGACGGCTGGGAGATGGACTTCCAGGGGAGAAAAAAGAAACACATATTTTTTGTTAAAGCAGCTAATAGGAGGAGCAGGAAGAGAAGAGACCAGGGCCTCAACCCCAGGCACAAGGGTCTTTCATTTGATGTCCCTGGGACTCAAGATTTACCATCTCTGCAGGTGGATCTTAGAGCCAAAGCAGCACGGCGAAGGCAGAACCACTACAGGGCCAGTGAGAGTGTCTGCAATGCCCAGAAGCAGCAGGACCTTGCCAGCACTGTAGTCAGCCACCTGCGGCTCTCCAGGGATAAGCGAGTGGCCAAGTCGCTGGCCATCATCGTATGTGTGTTTGGCCTGTGCTGGGCTCCCTACACTTTGCTCATGATCATCCGAGCTGCCTGCCACGGGACGTGCATCCAGCACTCACTCTATGAGACATCCTTCTGGCTCCTCTGGCTGAATTCGGCTATCAACCCTATTCTGTACCCACTCTGCCACATGAGTTTCAGAAAAGCATTCATCAAATTGCTGTGCCCTGGAAAGGCCAAGATCCACCCTCATATGTACATATGACAGCATTGCCTCATACCAGATCACCTAAACCCCTTATACTCCATGAAGGAAAGACAGGCACAAACATGTCACTAGGCCACTGCCACCCACTTCACCTTAGTCTTTGCCACAAGGAACACATGGAACCCATATAAGAAACAAGTGAAGCAAGTTCCCGCAGGTATCTCTAAAATGTCTATGGGATTGTTGCATAGAGCTTTGTTACTCAAAGAGTGATCCCTGGAGCAGCAGCATGGGGATACCCTCGGGGGCTTCTTAGAAATGTGGAATCTGGGCTGGCTGGTTGGCTCCATTGGTTACAGCGTGATACTGAGTTATAACACCAAGGTCATGGGTATCCCCATACCAGCCAGCTCCAAAAAAAAAAAAAAAAAATGTGTAATCACTGACCCCACCCCAGGTCCACTGAATTCCAGAGCCTGCATTTTAACAAGATCCCCATGCCATTTGTATATTTTTAAAAGTATGAGAAGCATTGGTCCAGGGGATGTGTCTAGAAGGATAAAAATGGTTGAGAAAAATATTGTAATCCCCATCTCCTTTGTAGACATCCTATTTAAGGCTTAAAATCACTGCTGATGACATTTATGTTAATTTTACCAAATTTGTACACATCTTATCAACCCATTTTATTCCTTGATAACGTTCACCAGTTTAAATATATTCAACCCTTTTCTTTGTAGTAGTATATGAGAGTATTCCACTACCTTTGTGTATATAGTTAAAGATAATAACGCTTGAAAAAAGAAACATACCAGGCCAATTATATATTTTACATTTACAAAAACATACCAGTCAAACATGCTTCTTTCATGTGGAGTAGCATTTATAAAGCAAATGTAATATGTGGAGTATACTAACATTTATAAAGCAAATGTAAATTTCACAGGGCCTAACTTTTTAGAATTACACATAGAAATGTTAAGCTTGCAAAAGACAGA